TCGCCCATACAATCAACGTAAAATGGGCCTCCAATGATCGCTATGGTAGTGTTACCTCTGTGACCTTACCAGTATTTTGAGAACGTTCTCCTGTGTTTCTCCTATCGTTCCGCTATACTTGAGTGCCATTGCGAAGCAAGCCGCTGTCATCGCATACAGGTAGACCTGTGAGTTTGAAAAATGGAAAAAAGTAATAAGAAGAAAACTAAAGTAAAATCAGTTGTATCGAAATTGTGAATAATTACGTCAAGGTTCATTTAAAGGAATAAAAAGCACCCAAAAATACAAACCTCAGCAACGGTCTCTTTGTCAACGACTTCATCCCAGTAGGCTATCTCCTTATCTGTGATATCCACCTCGACTGCAGACGGAAACTTCAGCACCGTCTGTGCATATTCGTGAATAACAGACGGGATCTGGAATGAGAAGCACAGCATGAGGAATATAGCAATCTCACGAAGGCAATAGAACCGGTATAGTCAGAACATTATTGCGTAGAGGAAAGTTCTTACTAGGAACAACCCCCTCTTAGAAATTTCATCTTCCACCAACCACCTACTCTCTTGCCTTTTTTAACAAACTTTCGCGGCCCAGCAGAGGGGCGGAGGGTGGGGGAGCGGAAGGAGGGGTGTGGCATAGACACCTCCTATCGCCTACCAGAAATAGCACCTATTCCACAGCGAAATACGGCCCCGCTGGGTTTCACATAAGGATAATGCGATAATGCGCCCCAAGCGCAAGAGCCATAGACATCATGAACACACAGACTGGGGACCTTCCAGGTCAACAAAGTCTTCTATCTCTTCGCAAACGGCCAAAATTGCTTAGTAGCACATAAACCCTTATAAAACTAGTTGGCCCATCACACCGTTGAAGCCCGAAAAAGCAATCAAGTGCTCCTATTCCAAAGGGAAATATGTAAGTTGCGCAGCGCCTTTTAAACGGATTGGTTGCTTTCTTATCAGTACTGAAAGTAAAGTCGTCCCATAACACACGGTCTATTATAGGAAGAACGCTCGAAGCATTTGGCTTGGTTCGTTCCCTTTTGTGATACGCCCACACATTCTACACCCATTCAGAGTAGCTGTGAGATTTTCAATACGATTCCGTTCATACTATGGCGATGCGATAGTCACACAATTTACAACTGATATTGTGGGACTAGTGACTGAGAGCATTTGTACTCCCAAAGAACTTTGGGACTTAAAATTGAGGTATTTCTACTCCTAAACGGGGACGGAATACGAAGGTACGGAATGACCGTCCTCGTATGTATGGAGGGAAATGCTGGCCAAGACGTAAGCAGCCAAAAGCTTTCGATTTCCCTCCATCCTTGATTCGGCGAGGTACGTCGGCCAGCGCCGACACTCTTACCTTACATCCATCATCTCGAGTACAAAGTAGGATATTTACCTGCTCATCAATCCAGGTACACGTCGGTTGTATCATATCCCAGAGCACCAAAGAACGAGCAAGAACTCTGACGAAAATCTGAAAAACGGCAACAGAGACCCATCAAACGCAAATCTATATTCATTATTAAATGTAAACGTAATTAGAAATGCGATTTCGAGGCTTCCTTAAAGACACACATGGTACGCTCAAACACATTGAGGGTGTATGAGACTAACAGCCCCCCAGCTGTCGATGTGTCGTGGTTTCCCCGCCTGAAACTGCACGGGGGTCCGAGTACGGGACCGTGGGAAAGGCTTATTCCTTGCTACTCCGCCCAAAATTCACCGCGCGCGCGGCGAAATGCAACTCGCGCGCGGTGAATTTTGGGCGGAGTAGCAAGGAATAAGCCTTTCCCACGGTCCCGTACTCGGACCCCCGTGCAGTTTCAGGGCGGGGAAACCACGACACATCGACAGCTGGGGGCTGTTAGTCTCATACACCCTCAATGTGTTTCGCGTACCCATGTGTCTTTAAAAACAACGTTTCAATTGAAAACAATCCTGTCACTGATGAACGGGAAGGTCAGGGAGGAACAAGCGTCTTGCAGTCGAGAAACAAACAGTAATTGATGTAGGGTGCTCCCTTTCACTCCGATTGGTTGGTAAGTGAGCTCGATTTTTTCACTAACCAGTCACGGTCCGTATGATGGAAAATTTTTCCAGATACTACTAGGTGTAGTATCCTGGAAAATCACGAAATACTATATCCCTGCGATCTACTTCCTATAAATGGCAACGTCTGTCTGTCTGTCTGTCTGTCTGTAAGTGTGTCTGTGTGTCTGTCCGGAAATTCGGCATTACCTGAAGAGCCGGTTTGAGGGGGCGGGTCAAGGGTGGGATGGGTAGGGCATGGGCCAAGATGTACGAAACACACATGAACTAAGCTAGCTCCGCCCACTGTGGGCGGGGCGTGCGCACAGTTGTGAGGCAAACGATCTCAAAAATTCATATCCGGTTCCAAAAGAGCCTGGGGAGCGAAGAATGTGGCAAACGATAGGCAGGCAGTTGGTGGACGAAATGATGGAGGCACACCCACTATGGGCAGGGCTTGCTCTAGGGGGCGCGGTGCTTGCTACGAAACCTTCAAACATTCGTAGTTCGGTTCCAAAGAGCCCGAAGAGTGAAAAACGACAGGCAAACAGTTGGCGGACGAAATGAGGGAGGCCGATCCGACTGGCTTTCTGTTCTTTGGAAATGTGTGAGGGAAGACCTATTTCACGCGCAGAAGGAGGAACAGCCGGCGAAGCCGAACGATCCGTCTGGTCGACAACAATTTAGAATTTATATTTATATTTATCCGAATGGTCGACAATAATTTATACCAGTCGGATCGCTGGTTGGTACTTTTATGAATGGGTTCCCTATAGCCTTCACAACTGCCCAAGCTCTCAAAGCTTACGATAAAATTTGCAAAAAAATATTTGAAGTAAAATCACCAATTAGCACTGACCACGTCAGGCCGAATTTCTTCCAGCATCGAAATTGTAGCCGGTAACTCCAGTTCCCTCGCAATCGCCATATTACCCGTTCGCATATACATCAATCCTAGGGCGATGGTGGCTGGATGAGCTGTCATGTGCACATTCACATTTGGGCCCTCCTGAAGCCACAGTGCTGTGTAAATCAGTCCTCAGATGACTTCTCATAATCACACCCGACAAATGCAGTCATGATCTCTGCAAACGAGAGGACGTGTGAAGTGACGTGCAAATGGAGAGCAGCCAAGACATCTTTCCCACCATCTTTCTTACCGGTTCAGGATGACATCACTGGTGGTAAAAGACATCTGGCAGCGCTCCAATCCTCGCCCTTCACACCCTTTTCGTTTGCAGAAATCATGGCGTCTACAGCTCTTGTGATACCGTAAACCAAGAGCCAACCTGCCAAGTAATCAGTAAAACCTGAGGAGCGTGTCAACTTTCTTACCCTAACATGATTCGAACGGCTCTCTTGCGGAGGAGTAGGAGCTGCAGTGTTGACATCTGGACAAGAAATCAGTTGAGGATGAATAAAGACGCATTGGTTCTGAAATTAGGTCTGAAATTAAGGTGAAATCAACTTTGGAGAACTACCATCAATTAGCCGACAACGAGCATCTCTACAACCAAACAATGATACAAGCTTGCGACGTGATCAGCAGTCCTTCTTTTCAGCTCCCTCTGAACCTTACTTGTTTAGGATCGGTGTGATCTCTTCAGGTGGTACTAACCCTTCTGAAAGCCTGCGGGGCAAACCCTCCGCATGGGGACACCATGAAGCGGGAGAAGAGAGTGATCGTATTCGATATTGCTTGGAATGAGGCGATCGTATTTGGCCTGTTCGAAATGGGGAAAGGAATTTCAAATGGTTTTAAAAGTCGCCTTGAAACACTTCCGCCTTTTTGCATACATATGCAGTCGCTATCACCCAGGGTGCTGGTTGAAAATGACATCCCGGGTTAGCTCTATTCGTAACACCA